GTTCTGTAATCTACCTCCACAGCTTTACCATTTCTGTCATTTTTACTCACTTATGGGTATCTGGTCTACTCCATACAGGGAATTAGAACGAGAAAGCGCGAAACTTGGAGGCATTATTGCATGGAGGAAAGGGATTCACGTTAGTTGATAATATCATACAAAAATATATTTGCGGAAAGGGCAGGTGATCATCGTCACCTGCTCTAGATTCTCTCACACCAAATTTCTATTCTCTTAATTGTAACTGTGATGCTTTGAACTGTGTTGATGCTTTGTAAGCTTTTTGTTCATTAGATGCTGTTTTTCTTGCTCTTTTAGCTGATGTTTTTCTTACCCTTCCTGATGAGTTTCTTTTATGTATAAGTTTTCTACTGACAAGAGCTACTCTGTTTTTATTCATTTGTTTAATTGTTTTTTGTTGCGTCGTGTGATAGATTTATTCTCATAATTTATTGTATAAGAGCAAATTATAGCCGTCTACTAATGGTGGAAATTATTAGTCTGGAGTATCGGACGGAAAGTTTTCGTCCGGACTTGAGTGCACTATAAAGTATAATTGTGATTTTTTTATTCACAGCGGTGTACAAATACTGTGTACGCTACATTAGTGCTGGACGGAAACTTTCAATGATCATGTGACGTCTATCCAGTTCCATGTGAAATCAATTTACTTCACTTACGAGAATGGTTTGCTTATAATTAGATAGTTAAGTGTTATTTTTACCTGTTAAGTATCATCTAGTTGTAAAGATGTACAATTTATTTAAATTTCTAATGTTTGATTGAAAGAAAAAGTAAATATAGAGTATAATAATAGTAAATTTGAAAATTATTAGTTTAGTTCAATTTATAATATATTTCATTTGATTGAGCTTAATTTCTAGTATACTTCATTTTTTTTTTTCAAGCATCCTCAGCCAACGAAAAATTTTCTACGTGGACGCGTCAAATCGCGTATGGAGATCAATCTGGATGTGCCATGTAATCTAAATGCACTATGCATTTGATGACGTGATTGTCCGGAAGTTAGCTTCCGCGATACTTAGCGACACCCTGGATAGATCTTTCCTCAACACGAACAGCCTTTGCTCGTCCTCGTTTTGCCATAACCTTCAAACTATGGCCACCTTGTGCCTTCGCATATTTGCTGAATTGATTTTATTTTAAATCAATTATAAAATAAAATCTTAAGGTTATTTTTACTTAATCCAACAATTTGAAAATAATTTAATATATCTATATTAATTTTCATAATATGATTGTGTATAGAATTAAAAAAATTAATAATAGATTTGTCCCTTAATAAATTAAATAAAAATACTAATTGGAAATCAATTATTTTAAAGTTGACTTTGAGCTTGCTTAGGACAACAGCTTTTTAGTTGAATTATTCATATAACAATTAAAATTTTATTTGACTATTGCTTATTATTTTCTCTCTATAAAATACTTATTTGAAAAAAAAAATATTTTTAACAAAGAATAACTAAGTTATTTTTTACATAACAATCTCATAATTAATTTTATAAAATGCTATAATCATCCCAACCAGACTATTCATTTAACTTCAAAATCTTTCATGTTGAGTTCGGTGTTGGCTGTCTGCATTTGAATGAATTTCCACACTTGAAAGGGAGGGAAAAAAATCCAAATATATGTTATTAAAAAAAAAAGAATATCCATAATAATACTTAAATCTTTAAATTATAATAAAATATGTATAAATATAAAGATTTAGGATTTGTTTGGTACAACTAATATAAAAATTATAATTTTTATACTGAAAAATTATTTTTAAAAGCAGAAAAAACTGTTTCAAACGAAGATTTTGACTTCGTTTGAGAAGGCTTTCTTCTTGCTTCTTAAAGCTATTTTTTTAATACAAAAATTAAAAATTTATACTAAAAAATTGCTTTAAGAAGCAGTAAAAAAACCGTCCCAAATGAAGCCTTGATTATAGATATATGAATGCATAAAATGATAAAAATTTAGCTGCATGAATATAAATCCCAGCCCCCCACCCAACAAAAAGAATTTGAGGCATATTTCAGCGAACATACCAAAAAAGCACTGCTACTCATAACAAAATGTCTTAATGCAAAACTAGAAAATATGACGTGGAACCGTTGATCACATTTATTAGCCAAAAATACTTAAATATTTACACTTATTTTACACACGATTGAAAATCAAGAATAGGCAAAATAGCTTCAAGTAGAGCTGAAGTCCCATTAATTTAGGCTTCGTTTGAAACAGCTTTTTTACTGCTTCTTAACACAGTTTTTTAGTACAAAATTTTATACTAAAAAGTTGTTTTTAAAAATAGTAAGAAAGCCGCCCCAAAGGAAGCCGTAAATCTGATCCCTACCGCACCTGCACAGTATACAACTCAATCCGAATTCGACACGCCTAATTAATTCCTACAATTGATCATTGGTGAAAATATACAAACTCTAAACTCTTGTAGTCAACATTCCTACCACCTGATTCGAGCTACAGACACTAGAAATGGTGAAAATGTGTGGAAAAAAAGAATCTAAAGCTCAGCTAAGAAATCTCAAGCCTTCCATGGCCGTTCTAAAAGTGGCAAGCTTCCTTTAAATCTTTTACATTTGGCTTTGGCAGCACATAGGGTTGTTTGTTGCTTGTATTTGAATGTGTGCCACTTGAAATATTGTTTGGAGAGGTCAACTGGTGATGATTCTGATTCCCAGTAAATGAATATGTGTTATTTGAAAGAAATGCTACAGAGCTGGAAGCATGAAGGTTTCCAACAACTGCGTGAAAACCATTTGAGGTATTCATTGAAGAGCCTGAATGTGGAAATAAACTATGGAGAACCTCTGGTGCGGATCTCAGAGTCAGGCGAGGAGCTGTGGATTCCGAGATTTCTGCCTGAGAGTGACTGATTTCACTGAAAAACGACAGCGGGACTAATGAAATCTTGCTGCAGAAAGGCTATCGAAAGTGCACAATACTTTCATTTTCTGTATGTAAAGAAAAATAAACAACAGAATTGATCAATGTCAATTGTGAAGCTTACTAACCCGTTGGTAGGCTGTCTTCCTTTCAGAAAAGGCTCGCTTCTTGCTCTAGGCCTGTCCCTTGGGCTATTGGTGGTCTCCTGATATGGTTGTATAAAATTTGCTTTTACATCAAGCAGTGAAACTTAAAGAATGAAATAGGGCTATCAAAATTGGGGCCGGGTTCAGGTCCAACCCGGAACTAACCCGACATTGTTCGACCCGACCCGCTTCGGGTATGTTTTACTAAAATTTAGGGTTTAGGTTCAATTTATTTAAACATAACTAAAATTAAGGTAAGATTTACTTCAATCAATTTAAAATAAATCATGCTTAATTTAATTTGGACAACAATTTTTATTATTTTTTAGAAATATCATTTACTTCTTTTGTAACAATCTTTTAAAATACTCCTAAATTAATTAAAAATGCGTCCAACCAGGTTGCTTTCGGGTTTTTGGGTCAACCCAATCCCGACCGGGTTTTACAACGGTTAGAAATCCCTAACCCAAACCCGACCCTATTCGGGATGACCCGAACCCAAAATTTTTGGGTCGGGTTCGGGTCGGGTCAAATATTGACACCCATAGAATAAAATACAATTACGTGACCTAAGACTCACATTAAGTTTGATTCCCGCAAAAGCCTGGATGGAACCATGGAGATGGTAGTGGTTTGAGTTCCGAATAAAGGGATGATCTAGAAGCATGTTTGCTGTTGGTCTTTCTGCTGGATTCCTGCGGAAACAGCGCTGCAGAAAGTCTTTACCTTCAGATGACAAAGTCTCCGGCATAGGTGGATCTTTATGCAATACCTTGAACATTGCCGCAGCCTGCAGGCATAGACAATAGCAGACAAATATTGAAGAACATGCAGAAGCAAACAGCGCACGTAGAATACACTTATAATGGTCTTGCTCATTAGCAATGTCCAACCATACATCATCAATATGTTCTACTTAAGGAAACAATTTAGCCGAAGAACAGGTCTCTCAAAGCATGGAGTTAATAATTGTTCACAGCGAAAAAAAGCAATAGAAATATAAGTAAATATTAACTTTATTAATGAAACAAGAGTGGCTAAAGAAACAAAATTATTGAGGACTCGGATTCTCTCAGGTTAGCAAGTTACCCTGATTTTCAAATAGCAACAAAAGCACCCTAATTTCAAACAAAGCAGGCCATTCAAGGTGTAGATGAATGGTCAGCATTTCTAACTGTACTTTGTACAGTTGTGAGTGTAACATGAAAGGAACAGAATCAGAATTATTCTACGGGTATCACAGGAATAAAAAGAGATGCAAAATATGGCATTAGAACATAATAATAGAGAGTCATCAGCTGATTCTAATAGGAGACATACCATGATCACAGCTTATGTAGCACTATATGATAGATGCAAGGAAGTTGGTTAGACTTCAAATGCAAGTAAAAAAGCATTGAGCAATATAAATTAAAGAAAATATGACGAGGAAATGGAGCATGAAGAGGTGAAGATAGTTGCATATGATGAAATATGGTACGATTAAAAACAACATATCCGCAAGGTTTGCATATTAAACAGGCGTAAGTAGGGCAGTACGTGAATTACTGCACTCAACAAACAATTTGGTGTTCACTCGTTTTGAGAAAATGATCAAAATGGTCCATTGACTTTTTATAAAGGACCAAAATGATCTTTAACTATATTAAAATACAATTTTGATCTGTCTTTAAAAAGGAATCAAAATAGTCTCATGATGGGATTATTTTGATTCTTCTTTAAGGAGTTGATATTGAAGAGATTTTACCATTCCAAGTTTACTCACCTCTCTGCTATGCAGCCGTCTTCTACAAGTGCTCAGGAATCTCACGATTCTTCTTACAGCTTGATCTAATCTCCACCGTAACTGAAACTGTGGTATTTCTGTGAATCATTTTCTCTGTTTATATATTTATGTGTGTGTGTAACTACAATCTGCTACAAGAAAATCTTATGAAGGTTTGAATATAGCTGTCTCTGTTTTTCTCTACTTCACTTTTCCCTTTTTGCTTATTTCTCTGCTTCAGCTACTGTTTGTATTAAGCTTGACTTCTCATCAAGCTGTTCAAGTATTTTATCATGGTATCAGAGACCTCTGCATAACTGCTATGGTCACTCCTCTACAAACACACCACCACCCTCTCAAACTGTACCAGCTGAACCCACCATCCCTCCCTCTTTGAGGTTCCTGGTTTCAAACTTTAAAAATGTTGTGCATATTCAACTTGTTGCCGAAAACTACCCCACTTGGCGCACATGTTAAAAAACTCTTTCTTGCCAATGGTTTTGTCGGGTTTCTCGACGGCACAACTACTTACCCACATCAGCACATTCTCTCAACCTCCGGTCAGTCCACCATTAATCCACTTTATTCGCAGTGGCTTCATCTTGATCAGAACCTCTCGGTTGCACTGTGAACTACAATTTCACCCTCTCTTCTACCTTATATCATCAACCTAACCTCCTGTCATACCATTGGGCTACGCTTGAGCGGCGTCCCTTTTTGACCAATCGATCGAGGGTTATTCAGTTGAAAAATGAACTCCACACTTTTAATTATGTGAAATCAATCCATGACCGACTACTTGTCTACAATTAAACGCTTAGTTGACAGCATTAATATCGATGGTGGAATCATTGACACTGAAGATATCATTTTATACATATTGAACGGACTTACTGCAAATTATCAAGCATTTAAGACTGCAATTCGCAGCAAATTCACTCCAGTCTCTCTTGATGACCTCTACTCATTGCTATGCAGCAAAGAAGTCAACCTCACCATTGATGTAGCAAAGAACTTACTCTGTCCGACTCCTATTGCTACATCTGATTCCCAGTTTGCCTTGGCTTCTACCAGAGGTCGTGGACGAGGTTTACAATTCCCCCAGTTCCGCAGTCGTGGTCGCATCTAACCTATATGGCTAGATTGCAAGTCCCACTATACGGGCCACTTAGCCTATGGGGCTAGGTCGTAAGACCCGTCATCAAACAACTTCTAAATTCAAAAGCCATCAGACCTATCTGAACATCCAAAATCATTGGACATCTTAAGTCTATAGGACTAAGTTGTAAAAACCGCTATTTGGGCCCTCTCTAATAGAGATCGAAAGACCCGTCGTTATGGCTACTTTCAACCGAAAGCCATAAACCCTTACCCAAATCCAATCACACGAGTTTCTCCTCAACGGGGCCATAAGACTGTTAGACCTGTCCAGTGGACCGGTCCAGCCGGTCCACGCGGGACCGACCCAGACGCAAAACAGCGGAGTTTTCTCCACTGGCTGCGAATGTCGTGCGAGTAGGAGGTCCACGGGAGCCACATTTTAGGAAGGATTTTTTAGGGATTTGGGAGGTAAATTGAATGTAGGGACTATTTAGGGATTTCCTTTTGATTTGTATGTATTAAATACTTTGTTTTCCTAGGGCTAGGGCATCTGGAGTTTGGATGATTTGAGATCTCCTAGATTTAGGTTTTCCTTTGGGCTCTAACGGCGTCTAGAGATTTGGGAGAGATCGATCCTCCTCTCGAATAGAGGATCAATTGTATCTTGCTATTTTTATTGTTTGGCTTTGATTTTCCTACCGTAATATATGGTTTTGGGGCTGATTTCGCCCAGATTTTGCATTATTCTCGCTGTTTTCTCCAATTGGAGATAGGTTTGCTTGCGAACTCAAGTATTTCCCTTAGGGTTACTTGCGAACTCAAGTAATTCCTATCAAATTGGTAGCAAAGCAAGTCTTGGGACCGTTCGTGAGCTGATTTTGGCGAAATTTTGCGCTGATTTTTGGTCGGGAACGGACGAAGTGCTGTTTTTGTAATCCAAATCCAGAAATTTTGGATTTACAAAAGTTCGGATCGAGATGGCGGCCAAGAAAGTTGATGCGCTAGAAGAAAGACTTGAAGGGGAGATGAACCAAATCAAGACAATGGTGGAGGAAAGGATTTCCTCCATGGAAGGACAAGTAGTTGATCTCCGGGACATGATGAAGAAAATGTTTGAAATTTAGAACCAAACAGCGGCTTCCGTGGCAAGAGCGGAGGAAAGAAAAAACACGAATTCTGAAACTCGTAGGGAGGAAGTTGAGGTGGAAATCGTGGAGGGAGAAAGAAGGAAACACTATCTGGAGCCTTTCCAGAGGGAGGATAGAGGAGGTAGGTATGGGTATCAAGGGATGGCGCAAAGGGGTACTGATTGGGAACGTCTGGAGGGAAATTATGGTCGCCGAGGTGCTGATTTTGAAGGAAGGATAGGGGAATTCGAAGGGGGTTTGGGCTATGGCAAAGCAAGGGAAAACCGGGAGATATGGGATGGGCCGAGCACTTGGGAGAAAGGAAGCTATGGAGGAATAAGGGGGAATGGTGGAGATCAGAATGTGAGGAAGTTGAAGATGCCTATCTTCAAGGGGGAGGATGCGTATGGGTGGATCTATAAGGTGGAGAGGTACTTTGTCGTTAATGGGCTAACGAAGGAGGAGAAGCTGACAGCAGCATGCCTATGTTTGGAGGGAAAGGCACTATCATGGTACCAGCGGAAAGACTAGAAGAGACCTATTAGGGATTGGCGGGAATTCAAGGACTGCATAATAAGACGTTTCCAAACCGATCGGGGAGGAGATTTCTATGAGCAGTTCTTTGCTCTGGCACAGGAGGGATCAAAATAGCAAACTATCGGGAGCAGTTTGAGCACCTAACCAGTAGGGTGGAGAGATTATCATATACGGTATTGGAGGGGAACTTCATGAAGGGGTTGAAGGCAGAGATCCGAGCAGCATTGAGGGTTTTGATGCCTTGTGACTTGGGAGGGGCCATGAAGTTGGCCCAGCTGGTAGAAAATCAGAAGAATCTAGAGAAGGAAGCTAGGAGCAACAGCTCAGGAGGCTCTTACAGGACGACGACCACTCTTCTAACACCCAAGGGGCCTGCATCAGGCAACATTAATGAGACCACCAGGGATTAGCCAGTAGGAGGAGGGAGTGGGAAAAATTTCAAGAGGTTGACAGAGAATGAGATGCAGGAGAGGAGGGAAAAGGGATTGTGTTTCAGATGCGAGGAGAAGTATATGCCAGGACATCGATGCAAGGACCGAACTCTTCAGGTTCTCACCGTCTATGATGACGAGGAAACTGTGGAGGGAGGTGAGAGGGAGTTAGAGGAAGAGATGGAGGAGAAGTTGCATTTGGATTTGACTGAGATTTCCTGAATTCAGTAATAGGATTCACTTCGAATCATACGATAAATGTGAAGGGAGAAATAGTAGGCATGGAGGTGGTTGTTTTGATTGAAAGTGGGGATACCAATAATTTCATTTTCACTCAGGTCGTCAACCAACTGGGAGTGAAATTGGTGGACACCTGTTGTTATGGGGTGATGATGGGTACATGGAAGGTGGAGAAAGGCCAAGGGATCTGCAGAGGAGTGGTGTTGACCATCCATAGGATTCAGGTAAGGGAGGATTTCTTCCACTAGAGTTAGGAAGTACTGATGTCATCCTGGGAATGAAATGGTTGCAAATCTTGGGGAAAACCAAGGACAATTGAAGAGCATTCACGATGGAATTAATGGTGGATGGGAGAATGGTGGTTATAAGAGAAGATACAGGGCTATCCAAAGCCATGGTATTACTTAAGACCATGGTTAGGGGCCTACAAGAGGTGGGGGAAGCTTATCGGGTGGGACTACACAAGCTGGATGTGATCAGGTTAGAGGAGGGGATGTTTCTCTTTCAGGGCAACCCCTAATTCAGTAATTTGGTAAGGATTTTTTGCCACCTCAAGGATGGCCACCTCCACCGGAACACGAGCATATCTCCACCTTGAGGACAAGGTGGATCTTCGAAATGGGAGTAATCTTAGACCGGTCCAGTGGACCGGTCCACGTGGGACCGGCTCAGACACAAAACAACGGAGTTTTCTCCGCCGGCTGCGAATGCCGTGTGAGCTGCAGGTCCACGGGAGCCATTTTAGGAAGGATTTTTTGAGGGATTTGGGAGTGAAATTTGAATGTAGGGACTGTTTAGGGATTTCCTTTTGATTTGCATGAATTAAATACTTTGTTTTCCTAGGGTTAGGGCATATGGAGTTTGGCTGATTTGAGATCTCCTAGATTTAAGTTTTCCTTTGGGCTCTAGCGTCGTCTAGAGATTTGGGAGAGATCGATCATCCTCTCGAATAGAGGATCAATTGTCTCTTGCTATTTTTATTGTTCGGCTTTGATTTTCCTACCGCAATATATGCTTTTGGTACTGATTTCGCCCAGATTTTGCATTATTCTCGTTGTTTTCTCCAATTTACAGTAGGTTTGCTTGAGAACTCAAGTAATTCCTATCAAAGACCCAACTCAAACCAAAATTATGGGCAACTTCTATTAAAGTCATAAGTCCCTACCCAAATTAAATAACTAATATATATATCAACCTCAATATAGTCGGGATCCCTGAGAGGAGGTAACACATGACTACTAATCAAATTTCATCGACACTGCAATCAATGATTGCTAGTGTTGGTAGACTGAACCCTACGGTATTCTTGGGATGACAGAACCATGATATCTTGATCGAGTCTACCTTCATCCCTCACAACCAGGGTTTAGAACATTCACATACTATTATGCACACATATGCACTTCATATATTAACAAAACATAATTTCATCCTTAATCGAGAGTGCTCTTCTACACGTTAAAATGGGTAATTAAATTATGAGGGCTTGCGCTCAAAAGAAATAGGACATAGATCTAAATAAAGACTTACACATCTCTCAGAGGAAATCTAGTTAATTTAAAATTCAATCTACCTTGAGAAAATAAGAACCTTAAACTTGTGAGAGTGAGGTTTGCGTCTAAAATTTTTCTGAGCGAATAGTTATGTGCCATTTTACATATAAGCATGTTCATTTTATGTTTCATATTTAGTTTATATAATAAATACAGATTAAGTCCTTATTAGACAAGCATTTTGAGCATGGTTTCAGATACCTTAACATCTATAAAAGGCTATGGTATTGTATTTTCATTATGCTTTGAATGAAAACCTTTAGTTACTCACCAAACCTACTCATTTTTCTGCTCTTCTCTCTCTCTCTCTCTCACACACACACACACACATTCCCTCGCCCTTTCTCTCTTCTAAAATCCCATCTGACCCTTCCCTCTTCTCCTCTTCCTGAAGTTACAAGGCTTTTCCACCGAGTCTAAAAAATAATTCAAGAAAATCATCGTTAATTTGCATTTTTGCAGTAGGACAGTTATGCCAAGCAGAACATGCATATATCATTATATAATGCAAAAATAAAAATTCCAACTACAACAAATTTGAAAGCAAACCTTAGCAACGTAGGTTCTTGAACCCAGTTCACTAAAAGGTCCAAATTCTTAAATTATGACATTAAAAAATAGTGTATTTAATATATGAATATTTATTAAGCATATTTCTGCAAGTTAAATTTCAATATGTAGACTTCATTAAAAATTTCAAGTTGCAGAGAATTCATCAGTTGAAGTTGCATGAACCAAGCGACTTCACTAGAAATTCAAGTTTTGGGTTCATAGTGGAGAAGGATTACCCCCTCAAGTCCACTCCAAGGATGTTTTCCAGTAAACATTTCAATGATAGTGCAACCCAGGCTCCAAATATCAACAGAAAAATCATAACCAACATCCTTGCTCATTGTAGCTTGTACAACCTGCATAATCAGGTGGAGCAAAACTTCAGATGATGAAGATAGCATATTCTAGAATAAATAATTAAAATGGTGAAACAATAATTCTCCTGGAGCTTTATCAGGATTATCAATGTCAATAAAAAAAGTCATAGACACAGAAGCTCTTTTTGCTCATTATAAGAGGTACAGCTCTCCTCCCAGCACTAACAAACTAACCAACAATAATTGAAACCCAACAATCTCAAGGTCAATCAACAGAACGCAAACAATTAAGAATTACGAATAAATATTGAAAGTAAATCAATCAATTTTCTAACCATAGAAAGTTAAGTTATGATACCAAGTGAAAGTTTTTGTGATAACACGGATACACCGTAAAGAAATGAGTTTTCTTACCAAAAAAGCCTTGTAATTCTAATCACCATAAATGACAGACTAAGATGATGGCTATCATTTTTTTTTTTAATTTTGACAAAAATATCCATTTATATCAGGAACTACAATGGCGACAGTGGCATGCTTCTCAATTCTTTCATAAAAATTACACCAACTATTTAGAGTATTCCCTCCTCCAATCTCATCCAATGCCTAGGTTGTTCCAACAATACCACGTCCCAAAAACAATGCACAGCAAAACTTGACCTCCCTCAAAGAAATAGCAATGCAAACTTCTTGATATATAAACCAGAACAATATTAAGATTAATATTTGGGCTATCCGGTAGTTAAAATGGAAAAAGCCCAAAATAAAAACCTAACTATTTTTCTACGGCCAATCTAGTTCCAAAATATTACATTTCTCAAATTTAGTCTCTTGACTAAACAAAATTAATCCAAAATATTTCCTTAAAGACAAAATTGGGATCACTTTTGTATAGGCAAGGGACAAATTTGTGATTAATTTTATATCCCAATTTTTATAAATTTCTATATGAGAGATCATTTGGGATCAATTTGATATAATTGAGGGACTAAATTAGATATTTGTGATACTCTAGGCTTAAATGGGTCACATACAAATAATCGAGAGACCTCAAAATATGTAAAATTCTTCAAGTTTTGGAACCTCTCGTTAAATGCAAAATTTGATACGTAAGATTTCAAACTTTTCAGAATCTCAAAATCTTTTGAATTTTGAATCAACTATTGAACCTGAAATTCAATAGGCAGGGCCGCTAAAATTTTTTTGCCAAAGAGATCCTATAAGGATGACAATTAGTATCGGTTTGACTAAGAAATAGAAATGGTTGTTCTGGCAGTCACATATACTAGAACGAGTTATGAACTTCCCTTAATTTTTGGAAAAAAGAAAAAAAGTGAATATTCATACTCTAATAATTAGATGCAATAAGAAATGAATTTCAAATCTGAAAATAAAATACCTCTGGAGCCATCCAATATGGACTTCCCTTCAAGGAAAGTGCCGGTGCAGCCCTACTTAACTGGAAAAAAGACAATGAAAGCCAAAGAAAATTGGAACCATGCATGTCAAAGAAGCATAACTGAAGAATCATATAAAGAGAATTCTACTAGTTAAATATCCATTTCCCATAACTCAAACAATTGTGAAATAATAAGAGTAATAAACAAAAGTAATTTCATAAAAAAAAACACTGAACATCATGCAGTATGCATCACACAAAACTAGATCCTTTCCACATATATAGGAATAGGATAATAAATAACACATTTCATGTGGGAAAAACATGAATTCTGTAATGGCATGTACTTTCAGCAAGTTATTGGAATTCTTGTGAGCAAATCCAACTTTGCATATTCTTGATTCATGAAGTTTTGCCAGAATATATGACAAGTCACTACGCAATCATTATTGCTAGATTTCTCTAGTTCACCAATATATAGTGTTACCTTTAACAGACAATAAACAAGCACAAGAAGAGACATAAGTAATTGATAGGGACATCAGATTGTGAAAGGTTTATCAGAGGCGTGGCCGCCGATCTACGACCATAATCGAGCCATTGTATTTTTGATTCATGTTATGGTTATTTATGTATTTGTTTTATTTTATTTCCCGTTGTACCCTTATAGTAAAGGGATGTCGTATGTAAGCCCCGAGGGCATGTTCGTCTTTTATTTTGAGTCTCTTGTACTAGGCTATTTATAGCCCCTTGCATATTGTTTTTAATTAATGAAAGATTATTATGAGATTTTCTTACACTTATGTTTTGAGAGCATTTGAGAGTTCTTGGAGAGATCCCTAGGGGAGGGAGACCGGATCACCCACCAACCTTGGAGACGGCCGTGTTCGTGGTTTTCTACTTTTCTTTTGTCTTTCCCCTTCCGCCACCACTACTCAACATCGTCGCATCCAAGCCGTATACATCTCACGCCATCATCTCCTCCCCAATCGAGTGCCACAAATTTTCCCTACTAACCGCCAGCCACCTTACCCAAGCCCCATCCGGCCGGAACCCGCCCCACCCACCGGATCACACCCCACCCGTGGCCCCTCTTCCCCCAAGCCTTGTTTCCTAAATTAGATTGATTCAAATTTGGATAGATTTGAAATTCAAATTTAATTGATTTGAAATTCAAAATCTTTCCTAATTTATCAAATCTATTTTAGGAAAGTTCTTAAATTAAATTCATTTGAATTTCAAATTCAAATTGGATTTATTTAATTACTTTCGTAATTCCTCTAGCCTCTTTAATTAACCCCACATCACCTCCCAAATCTCCTCCCTCCCTATTAATGCCGTCGGCCCCCCTTGGCTTGGGTTAGGAAATATTTCCTAAAACCCCATCCTTGCTTTAAGCAATAATTCGAAATCCCCCTAAATTTTCTCTTGGCCGAAATTCCCTCTTCCCCCTTCTACTTAATTTCTTTCCAAAAAGAGTTCTCTCTTTAGGAAACAAATTAAACCCCCACCTCCTCTGCAAACCGCCGGCCCCTCTCTCCTACCCACCCCTCTCTCTCTCCAATCCCTCTCTCCCTCACTAACTCTCTCCCGGAATTTAGGATTTGATAATTTCTATCCAATCCCTCTCTCCCTCACTAACTCTCTCCCGGAATTTAGGATTTGATAATTTCTATCCTATGTTCCTCTCCCCAATTTACAAAAGTCTGAAATTTATTTCAGATTTTTGTCCCGGCTCTTCCCCCTTTCAAATTGTAAGAGAAACTTCTTTCTCTTGAACTATCTTCAAGTTCACCATCAAGTTGTGAAGAGTTTTGCAACCGAGCACCTATGAATGGCGGATCCGGAGACTGAATACGGCCTCACCTATGACGAAGACAGTTTCGTAGATCCTCCAATCCACTTTCTTTGACGTTAATACAAGGGTCGATCACACCGTCGAGGACTACATTGAGAGCATCCTGGATACTTTGGTGGAAGCAATCGACGAGTAGTTTGAAGGCGTTGAGTGGAGGATCTCCACCGATCCTTGACAAAAGGTTCTACTTTCCCCCTCTCAACATATTTCATAAATCTAACTTTATCTTGTGCTTGATTGTAGTCACGAAGGACAATTCTCCATGCTTCTGCTAAGCTTAGTAAACGTAGGGTTTTGAATGTGCCTCCGTACTTATTAATCCTCGTTGTTAGATTAGAGATTTTATTGAAACTACTATTCTGGCATAATGTTGTTTACTAATTTATTTTAAAAGCTTTTCAAATCTCTGGTTATGTGATTTAGCCTAAGCGGGTGTGACCCCTTTCTCGTTTTATTTGTTGTTTTAAAACGCTAATGGTTTCTTCATTGTTATTCTAATCAAGAGTTGTGCAAATCCTTACAAAACATTGCATTCGTATGTAGCCCTGCATCAGTAATACATCTAACCACCACCGAAACATGCATAACATTTAATCAATTATTCGTAGTCATTTTAAAGGTGGGATCTATGGTATAGACTTCTTGTCAAAATCAGTTGCTCCCATTACATCACACTAAACTTAGGTCTCTCTCTCCAATCTCCAGGTGCTTCTACATATGCATTCATATCTTTGTACATGCTCTGAAATTACAACATTTTCTACCAACATCAGCTTGATATATAACCTACTGTTGTCGGGTCTCAAGCCCTGGATGAGAAAAGTAAAGGATTGCATTAGGTAGTTGGCAGTCAGTGTAAAATTTGTCGAACAATCATGACATGAATTATTTAATACATTGGGTTAATGTTAGGGTATTCCCTAGTTGTATAGGCTGAATACAGTGAGAGGTGTGTAAAAACCACTACACCGACACCCGAGTGCAATGTTAAATAAGCAAAAGTTCCAACATCATGGACGGGTAAGAGCAAAGAAGTTAGTCCATAAAAATCAAATTGGAATAGGAACTTAAAATATAAGATCTCTTACCGGAAAATTAATGAAATTAATAGATATTATGATTTATAGGAAGATAAATATTCTGTATGTTCAAGAAATTGAATGGCCTAGAAGAAAAACTAAGGAGATTATTCGTTTAGAATTTAAACTATGGTATTTAGGTAGGAATCGTACTAGATATGGGGTAGTGTACATATAGATACGAGTTTGAATGATAATATTGTAAAAATTAATAGATTTGGAGATGGAATTATAGCTCTAAAAATTATTGTTTATGCTAAGTTTATTAATATCATAACGAGTTCTACTCCTCAAAGAGGTTTAGATATATGTTCAAAATTAAAAAATTTGAAATGACTTAAAAGAATATACACAAATGATACCTCTTGTTGAACAAAGAGATTTTATTGGAAGAGATTTAAATGAACATGTCGGTAGAGTACAACAACATCAAGCCTTTGTCCCACTATGTGGGGTCGGCTACATGAATTCTTTTCGCCATTGTGTCCGGTTAAAAGTCAAATTCTCATCTAAATCGAACATGTCGGTAGAGTGATAGAAGAATTTAAAAACATTCATGATAGTTATGATTTTGGAGCAATTAATGAAGGTGATAGAACCATATTAGATTTGTTTCTAACTTGTGATTTTGTAATTACTAATACCTTAAATAAAGAAAGAATGATCGACATTTTGTACCAAAAAGCATTACAGGTCTCACAATCATCTTATAGATTTTTTTCCCTTAAGTTTGAGGAGAACTTTTTTTATCACACAACAAGCCTGACACATTCCTCCACTTCAACCATCCAACTTGAATTATACTAAAAATATCCCTATTTGATTGCCCATCACTCTGAACAATAGACCCAAGATAACTAAAATATTTACTCTTATTAATAACTTGATTACCCAAGTCACAATATCCCCACTAGAACTATTATTTTGAAAACTAAACTCATATATTCAATTTTAGATATACTCAAACGAAAAGCCTTTTGACACTAAGGTTAACCTCCATAATTCAAGTTACCTTCAATTCTCTCGATAGTTATAATATTATCCACAAAAGGCATACACCAGACTACAACCTCTTGCAAATGTCTAGTGAGAACAGCTATTTCTAAAGCAAAAAAGATATGGGCTTAAGGCTGATTCTTGATGTAATCCAATAGAAATAGGAAAATACTTGGTCAAACCACCTTGTGCTTGAACACAAGTAGCATCTCGTGCATATATATCCTTAATAACTTGATTATAAGCATTATTAACCCCTTTCTTTTTTAGAACTCTCCATAACACTTCTCTTGGAACTTTATCATATGCTTTCTCTAAATCAATAAATATCACATGTAGATCATCCTTCTCTATACTTCTCCATCAAACCTCTCAATAAATGTATGGCTTCCATAGTAAACCTACCCAGCATGAATCCAAATTGATTTTGAGAAATATTAGTATCACGCCATAACCCATGCTCCATATAACTCTTTGACATAGATTTAAAGTATGACACATTAACTTAATGGTAATAAGTCAATATTAATTGTTTGAGAAAATAATAGCTCCATTCATAACTCACTTAATAGTAACGAATCTATAGATCAATCTTTTGAGAAAATAATAGCTTCATTCATCATATATAATTTATCTAATTTAGGTATTTAAAATCAATATGTAATGGTAATCATATTAATTGTTTGACTATCCACATACATAAACAATTGTGATTCTTAAGATATATTATGTAGGAAAAAACACAGACTGATACTATCCCTAATAAATCTTTTACTAAGCAGTTCAAGTAATAAGTTTTAAACCCAACATGTTCAATAGGATTCATTTTATAATGTGATATATTTGATAATGATGATCCAAGCATCAAGTCAACATGCATATCCCAAAGTGGAGAATTCAACAGGAAGCTTATCATGATACAATTCTTTAATTTCAGATAGTCTACCAATCTCAGGCATAAATATACCCTCAATCAATTTTTTCTTCAATTAAACAACTACAAGTCTACAAGGCATAAATTACTCCCCCAACTATACTCTCCTTTCTAAAAGCATATTCCTTCTAAAAATATCAAGATTTCTTAATTTGTTAGGACCACATCATTCTTTTGATGCACGCAAAATTTTTTTGCAGCTCTTCAAAATCCAAGGCAAGTTGAAAAGCCTTCTCAATTAAATTAACAATTTAACATTAGGTTTAATTTCTCTTTTAAGCTCAAGTCTCAACTCAAATCTAACCTAAAAAGTATTATTTTTTAATTCTCTCTTATTTTAGAACATAACATTAACTCTTCAAACTTATTCAATTATTCAATGACAGTCTTTATTCCTTGTGTTAATGAATTAAATTCATTGAGCAGTTGAGACCGATAAGAAAAGGGTTGTTATTTTTCTTTTAGAAATAATTTCAGCTCAGGCAAAGTAGCAATGCTAGGATCTAGGCTTGACCAACATCCAGTACAACTTAGCTTGTCCAATTAGTTTTGCTTTCATAAAACTTGTCGTTCATTAGACATCATTTGTTAATCAAAGAAGTTATCTACATCCATTACCCAACCAAAAAAGCCTCGGTAACTATTCTCCCATTAAAGTTAGATGCAGCAATTTTAACTTTCCTAATTATATTTTTGTCAATTTTTTAAAATTGACATCCATGATTGGCATGATCGATATAATATTTATCATGATAATTTCTTATAGAGTGATTTTTTTGTCTTCTAACAATATTTTTAATGAGTCCTTATTAAAGCTAATCATTGTATGCTTCTTGCAAGAGAAGCTGATCTGCTTACAAAGTATTAAGTCGATCTTTAACTTCATTTATTTCAATGCTCATGTGATTTTGCTTGTTCAAATAACTATAATTGGTTTAGCAAAATAGTCAAAATCTCATCCCTTTGGTGATTCCTTAATTGAATCCCACTTCGAATCATTTTAATACAATCATTAGCTCTGTAACAATTTAATATTAAACTTGTTAGTCATACCAAGAACTTTTACCTCTGATAGGGATACTATATTCTTAAGTCATTTTTTGAGAACACTTTGGTCAAAATTATGGACTACTCTCCAATTCAATAGTGCATATCATCCACAAATGGATGGACAAACTGAAGTTTACGAAATTTGCATAGGTGTCTTGCTAGAGAAAGACCTTCTCAATGGGATTTGATTTTATCCCAAACCGAATTTGTTTATAACAAATCCCTTAACCGATCTACTAGAAAAATCCGTTGAAAATTATTTATGGCCAACCTATTCCCCACATCATAAATTGATGTTCAATACCGATTCCTTGTAGAATCAGTGCTGAAGCTACTAAAATTGTTTATCATATTCAATCGGTCCAACGTTAGATCCTAGAAAAACACCGTATGGCAAATACTAAATACAAAACAGCTGCTGACAAACACTGGAGAGTGTTATTTTCAAGAGGGGGACTTAGTTATGGCTTCCTTTCGACGACAGCTCTTTCCCATGGGTACATTTAGCAAACTAAGTTGAACGAAATTTGGTTCTTACCGAATGCTATGAAGTTTGGGAACAAATGCTTACCTGCTGGATCTTCCACCTTCCGTTAGAACTTCCCCTATGTTTCATGTGGTCGATCTTACTACATATGAGGGAGAACCAACTGATTTAGTAGACATAGAGACCTTGACCCTTACTATTCCAATTCATACCAAAGATGATCACATTGATGATGTTCTGGACATCCGAACTACCTAGACAAGGCGTAATGTGCACAAACGGTTCCTAGTTAAATGGGGTGGACATCCCTTGACTGACTGCACTTGGATTAAAGAAGATTTTTCCTTTGAGCATCATTCTCTAATTTTCAGATTTGCATGGGAGGTTATCTTTCTAGGTTGTTCTAAGGGTAGTTTATTCAACAAGCCAAAATTCTAATTCAAAAGGAAGATCTCCCATTAGAAATAGCGCATTCAGAACATCATGAAAGTTATGAGGAATTCTCATCAGGGGATGAGATTCTTCCACCATGGGAGATTAATACAGTCAAGGTAGGGGCTGATTTAGAGGGATTTTTTGTGGCTATTTGGTCTTCCCATGTGGTTGTTTGATCTTCCAATGTGGCTGTTTTGTCTTTTCATAATTGGTTGTTGGTCTTCCCTATGTTGGCTCCATTTTTCCCTATGTTGGTTTTTTGTGAATTGTTCGTTGTTGATTCCTGCTACAGTATTTTTATTTCTCATTAAGTGGGTTGTTTTGGTTTTATTCTATTGGTTGATTTGGGTGGATCATTAAGGAGAGCATTTATACTTTTTTTCTCCATCTTGTCCTATATAAGGTGGTTGATTTCCTTTAGAGTTTAGTGAGAGTGAATTGTGAAGAATATTTGGAAAGTGAAACATGCGGGTTTAAATAGTTTGCGAGCTATTTTCTTCTACCTCCCTATCTTCTAAAACTTCTTCTCATACTTCTATCTTCTTCTTCTCTCCACGGTTCTCATCCCACTTATATCTTTCTTCTCGAAGCTTTGATTAGTCGTATGGCGTTGTTGTGTCTTTTTTATTGAAGTTGTAAGGTGTTGTGTCCTTTTATTTGAAGTTGTAAGGTGTGGTTGTGTTTGTTTAAGCTATTGTAGAATATAATAGTATTGTTTTGTTCTACCTGTGCTTATCTATGTTTTAAGGAAATGAAGTCGTTAGTTTGCAATTTTAATATTTTCTAGATTGCATCAAATGTCCAGATTATCCAAGTAAATCAGCATTCACATGCAGAAGCAAGTATTATGAATTCACATAATTCTTCTCTTACACCATAATCCAAATTAGCTCAGATTCGCTTTAATGATGATTACAAAAATTTGTATGCCCAGTGGACTGGGAACTTCCAATTTCTGTAAAGGCCTGAATTAGAATTCCAGTATACATGCCAAAAACCATGCTAGCAAACAATACTCAAAAGGATTAGAGGAATAAACAAATGAGTGATATTTTATATGACCTTGCATCTCATTTGCCATAGCACCACATATAGCTGCCTCAACAATTTGTCAAAAATTAAAAGCAAGCAACTTTACAAGATAAGACAACATCATTGATCACTTAGCAATTCAAAAAACCCAACTCACATGTTTTGCCATCCCAAAGTCTGCAAGTTTTACTGCACCATTAACATCAACAAGTAAATTTGCCCCTTTGATGTCTCTGAGAAACAAATAAGTTAATGCATCAAAACTTGCAAAATGGCGACATGCCAACTATTCTTGTAAAAATATAACACTTCAGTAACCATGACTAATTGGAGGAATTGATAAAAATGACAAACTTATATTTAGCAAGTCGTTCATACAACTGACAATCTGACATTCAAGCAGAAGAAGATAAAAGACTCAGATAGAAGTGACATCATGAGAAATATTAACTTTATACTAAACAGAACCAACATATGAGGTAAATTCAGCTTGCTGACAAGTTTCATCAACGGAATCTACATTAATAGACTGAAAATTTACACAAACAAAACCCAACATAAAGGAATAACTTCAGCAATACATATGACCATGAAAGGAATGATTTTATACTCATAAACAAAAGCCCATCAACTTTTTCCAACCTCGAATACTTTGTACCTGTTGAGCATTTCAAGAAACACAGATTGATTGTTGAACTTATGTGGGTACTTGGTATTCCAATAACGTGCTATTCACTAATCTATTTATTTGAAAATTTGCCCATTAAATTATCATTTTCTTATCTTTCAGCTCTTTTGGTTCTTTATTCACTTTATCCCAACCAATTTAATTAAGACTGAATATAAGGCAGCGAATACCATGCTTACATCATCAAAAAAGACAAAAGTATAAACCAGAGGAAAAAGTTTTGTATATTAACTTGAACAAATTAGCCTTAGAATCATTTTTTTTTCTGTTAGGACTTGGGAGAGCCATTAATCACATATTTGTGCTTTGATCAATTTATCTTTAATTAGAACTTTAGGAACTTAAATAATCAGAAAAATTTGATTTATACATAATGGGGCAAGCCACAATAACTTTGGACTAACTCATAAACCAAAAATGGCATGCATTTAATTATATGTGATGTACAAAGAAGCCTACTTACAGTTTTCAGAATGGAATCTTACTTGTATCAATATATATGCCATTTGTACTCGTATATTACTTTCTCAATTTTCAAAGGTAAAATATTTCTTGATCATTTTTGGACTTGCTTGTCAATATTTTGTTAATAAGGTTATCCAAGAAGACTATAGTTATTATTACAAATAGTAAGTGCTAGATTCATTGTAATTAGAGATTATTGATTATAAAAGGTATAGCCTTTCATTGTCATCCCCTCTAGGGGGAATGGGATCAATTGCTCACTTTTTCTCTTAAACAATGAGGTTCTTTCTCTTCTTTCCTCAGTTTAGTTAAGAAACTTCATTGTTAATATCTTGAGTTATCTTCCTGGTTCTTACTCTAAATCATATTCTACCCTTCCTTATTGATACACCTTGTATAGATCTATAAATAGGGAGTAGATTGCTTAATAAAATTCAAGCTTTTCCCTCTCAAATTCCCGATTTTAACATGGTATCAGAGCCAACGGCCTTAATTGCCGTCCGAGAACGATCCTAGATAGTCGAAGGACGAAGAGAAAAAGAAGAAGCTTGATCGTGCCGACCCGTGCACGAGTCGAAGCACCAATCGGGACTTCCGATCTGAGAGGAAGGCCAAAGAAGTTGAGACTCCCGCTAAGAGCTGAACGTCCGAGCATATCCGAACGAAGGAACGGACGGCGGACGGCGAGCACCTTGATCCAGCGCTCGGAACTACCAGGCGCGGTCGACGTTCTCTCCTGTCCAGAAGGAGAAGACTCGATCCGGGCTCCAGACGCGGGAAACAACGCTCGACGCTCGGATACCCCAGCCCTACCTCTCGCTCGAACACTTGTGAACCTGCTTCTTCCTTCGTATACCACATCAGTTTGGTATCAGAGCCAGCGGCTTGGAGAGATGGCAGAGTCCAGCAAGCGTGCGACGAGCGAGGACAACCGAAGTCTGGAGGCGCTTTGGGCTGCGCACGCTGGAGTCGAGAAACGGTTGGATGAAATAGCAGCGGCGGTGGAGCGTCTCACCGCTGCGTTTCGTCGTGAACCGCCTGTGGCGCGAATGGGAGAAATACCATTGCGAACGGGAAGACCTGTACCACCGATCATCACACCGGTTGAAGAAAACAGGGGATATCAGATTCGAGGTCGACGACGACCAACATTGCTTCCGGAGTTCTCAGACTCGGAGGAGGATCGAGGAAGTCTTATGCCGGAAGGATTTTCAGATTCGGATGCGGAACTTGGAGACCGTCGTCCTCGGCGGTATAATGCGCGAGACCGGCACCAGGGAGAATTCCGGGTGAAGTTGGACATTCCGTTCTTTGATGGAAGGCTGCACATCGAGGACTATCTCGATTGGGAGAGGTCAGTAGAAAATTTCTTTGACTATATGGAGATTGAATCGGAAAAACAGGTCAAGTATGTGGCGTGTCGACTTAAAGGAGGAGCTAGTGCTTGGTGGTCACAGTTATTGCAATGCCGCCGGCGGGAGGGACGCGGACCTGTACGCAGCTGGTTGAGGATGAAGCAGTTGTTGCGGGGACATTTTCTTCCAACTGACTATGAACAAATGTTGTACTTAAAATATCAACACTGCACTCAAGGCAACCGCTCGGTGAGCGAATATACAGAGGAGTTCTACAGTTTATCCGCAAGGAATGATTTGAACGAGACGACCAACCAACTGGTAGCAAGATGCATCGGCGGACTGAGGGAAAGCATTCAAGACAAACTGGAATTGAACTCAGTTTGGTCGCTCTCACAGGCAGTAAATTTCGCCCTCAAGGCGGAAATTCAGTTGAGCCGTCATATGCGAAGTGGTTCGAATCGTAGACAGACTGTGGAGGCTGTCGACTTAACTAAGCAGCCAAGTTCGGGTGTGCGCAAGACTCCGTTATTACCAGATAATAGCGGCTTGTCTCAATCGCCTAAGTCCAATTCCGATCCTAAAGCTCCAGTGAAGCCCAGATTTCCCGCAAAAGATAACCCGTATCCACGACCTCAAGGACTCAAATGCTTTCGATGTTTTCAGCCAGGACACAAGTCTAACGAGTGTCCCAACCGCCAACAATTGCAACTCATTGAGGGAGAAGGGGAAGATGAATTGGATCAGCGAGAAGAAGAAGAGGAAGTGGAGGACGTACTCGACGATGAAGGGGAGCCGTTGGTTTGTGTACTGGAGAAATTACTCTTGGCTCCTCGAAAGACCATGGATTCTCAGCGGCATGCCATATTTAAAACGAAATGCACTATTGCCGGAAAGGTCGTGCAAGCCTTACAGCTCAAGACGGCGAAGTACCCACAGCCTTACAAAATTAGTTGGGTTAAAAGAGGAATGGAAATTGCTGTCACCGAGACCTGCCGCGTTCAATTTTCAATTGGAAGACATTATACCTGTGAGGTGGTCTGCGACGTCGTAGAAATGGACGTCTGTCACTTGATCCTCGGTCGACCCTGGCAATTTGATGTTAGCGCTATTTATGACGGGAGAGCCAACACTTATACTCTGGAATGGAAGGGAAAACGACTTCGACTATTGCCACATTCCGCGGGAGGAGACAGCAAAACTGATACTGTCCGACCAGCACTTCACATAGTCACGGGCAATGGACTGTTAGCTGCCTGTGAGAAGGATATGCCACTCTTTGCTTTAATCATCCGGGAAGCCACACCCAGCCAGGATCTTAACAGCAGACGGTTGGTTGAACCACTACTCAAACAATTCGAAGATGTACTAAATGGGAGTGTAAATACTTTACCTCCTCTCCGTTCATTGCAGCATCAAATCGACTTTGTGCCGGGATCCACACTTCCCAATTTGCCTCATCACCGGTTGAGTCCGAAGGAGCATCAAATTCTGCAACAACTTGTAGACGATTTACTGAAGAACAAGCTAATTCAACCGAGCCTCAGCCCTTGTGCTGTGCCGGCACTCCTTGTCCCAAAGAAAGACGGGAGTTGGCGAATGTGTATGGACAGCCGCGCCATCAACAAAATCACGATGAAATTCAGCTTCCCGGTACCGAGAATTGAGGAGATGTTGGAAAAGCTGGCGGGAGCTACCGTATTCTCGAAACTTGACCTTCGAAGCGGTTATCACCAGATCCGAATTCGACCAGGTGATGAGTGGAAAACTGCATTTAAAACGCGCCACGGTCTTTATGAATGGCGTGTCATGCCCTTTGGGCTATGCAATGCCCCCTCAACCTTTATGCGGCTGATGACGGAGGTGCTCAAACCATTTTTGAACATCAGCTGCGTAGTATATTTCGATGATATCCTTGTTTTCAGCGCATCATTAGCTGACCACCTGGTGCATTTGACTGAAATTTTCTCTGTTCTTCAACAAAATCAGCTCTTCTTGAACTCGAGTAAGTGCGAATTCGCTGCTTCTACAGTTTATTTCCTTGGATTTGTTATCTCGGCTGCAGGTGTTCGCGTGGATCAGCGGAAGGTGGAAGCAATTACGAACTGGCCAATTCCGAAATCATTCACAGAAATCCGTAGCTTCCATGGGCTTGCGAACTTCTACCGCCGGTTCATCAAAAACTTTAGCACGATTATGGCACCGATCACTGACTGCCTCAAGCTGAAACACTTCCAGTGGGGTGCTGATCAAACTACCAGTTTTGAGGAAATCAAATTGGCGTTATCTTCAGCTCCAGTGCTTGTGTTGCCCAACTTTGAGAAGCCATTTCATGTTAACACAGGCGCGTCAGGAATTGGTATTGGGGCGGTATTAAGTCAGGAGAACCGACCGGTGGAGTTCTTTAGCGAGAAGCTTTGTCCCTCTCACAAAATTGGAGCGTATATGAGCAGGAATTGTATGCTGTGGTGCGTGCTCTCAAGCAGTGGGAACCATATCTTCTGCAGCATGAGTTTGTCCTGTGCAGTGATCACCGCGCGCTGCAATTCATTAACAAACAGAAGCACATTAATAGGATGCACGCGAGGTGGATCCTGTTCTTGCAACGCTTCTCGTTCGTGCTTAAGCATAAATCGGGACCGCAGAATGTAGTTGCGGATGCACTTAGCCGCCGCCATTTGTTGCTTACCCAACTCCAGACAGAGATCACCGGTTAGAATGCCTAAAGGAGTTATACGCCACCGATCCTGATTTTAAGACAGCTTGGGAAGATTGCCAACAGGACAAGCCGAATACAGAATTTACTATTCGATATGGCTTCCTATTTCATCGCAACCAGCTCTGCATCCCAGACTCGTCTTGGCGACCACAACTAATAAAGGACGTGCACTGTGGTGGTTTAGCAGCTCATGTGGGGCGGACAAATACCTACTTACAGCTCCAATCTCGCTTTTACTGGCCACATTTACATCGAGATGTAATGAGGTTTGTGGAGCGGTGTCCCATTTGTCAAAGTTACAAGGCCGGCGGACAACTCGGAGGCTTATATCTGCCACTTCCCACGCCTGAGACGATTTGGGAAGATTTGAGTCTAGACTTCGTACTGGGACTACCCCGAACTAAACGTGGGCATGATTCGATCATGGTCGTGGTCGACCGATTCTCCAAGATGGCACATTTCGTGTCTTGTAAAAAAACGTTTGATGCATTAAACGTGGCACGCATTTTTTTTGCGGAAATCGTTCGATTGCACGGGCTGCCCCGAAGTTTAACCTCGGATCGTGATGTAAAGTTCGTCAGCAACTTTTGGAAGGAATTGTGGAAACGGCTACACACCGACATCAAGTTGAGTTCAGCTTATCATCCGCAAACGGATGGGCAAACCGAAGTCATCAACAGAACGTTAGGAAATTTATTGCGGTGCGTAGTGCAGGATAATCCGAAACAATGGGATGAAGTATTGGGACAAGCCGAGTTTGCTTACAATAGCATGACGAACCGTTCTACGGGGCGAAGTCCGTTTGGGATTGTTTACACTAAACACCCAAATCACACTGTTGATGTAGCCGTGCTTCCTAAATGCAACAGCCGACCAGCAGCTGAGTTCGCAGAGCAATTCGCCAAGATGCTAGAAGAAGTTCGGGACAAACTGAAAGAATCCAGTGCCAAATACAAGCAGCATTTTGATAAGAAAAGAAGAGAGAGATCTTTTGCACCAGGAGATCTTGTGATGATTAAGGTTCGACGAGAGCGGTTCCCGCCCGGGACTTATTCCAAATTAAGTCCCCGAAAAATCGGTCCCTATGCAGTGATCAAGCAGATCAATCCAAATGCATATGTTGTGGATTTGCCTAAGCATTACAATACTTCATCAACCTTCAACATTGGCGATCTTGCTGCGTATCACCCTCCCGACACAGCTGAAGCTATCATGGTGTCATCCGAGTCGGATTCTTCTGATGGTGGAGGAGAATGATGCGGTGCATCAAGCCTTAGGCGCCATTTCAAGTAATATTTAAACTTAGTTTATTTATTATACTAGTTTTACTAAAGTATTTCCAGGATTAGTTAGTAGTGGCTGCTCCACTAAGCTTATTTCCTTAAGTAGCCGTGTGCAGGTCTGTGCTTACCTGCTCCCTTTTCTTTTAGTTGCTATTTTTGTTTCTTCCTTCTTTGTATTTCTTCCCTACCGAGAAGATGACTTCCTCAGTTGATGAAATACAAACTTTGGCTAGTGCCATTACTGTTACATTGCCTTCGTTAACTATACCACTTGTGAACCTGCTTCTTCCATTGTATACCACATCAAAATGTCTTCCATTCGAATTTTAAAATTTTTTTTTAAAAGTTTAATATTTAAATTTAAAATTCAAATCAATTTGAAAGTTAGCTGAAACTATCTTATTTTTGTCCACATTTTAGCCCAACCATTCTATCCATAACATTTTCATGATAACCTACATAATAACTTCCTCGATTCCTCCACCAAAATTTCTAAATATATCCTTCATTTGAATTTCAAATGAAAATTTTAATCCATTCTTTAATTTAAAACATGAATTCAAAATTTTCTATACATAAGTGCAATGCAGGCAACAAATTCACAGAACAATATTAATTCTAAAATGCATTTGCTCGGAGTACATTATTACAAAACGTAAGCTAAATGAAGGTCACGAAAAATTATTACACAGTTAAGATAGTAATAGAATTTAAATTTCGATATAGAAGAACCATATTATGCGCCCAAGCTATTGCCCCAAAACAATGCAGAAACATAATCCAAAATCCCTAAGAATAAATTCTCAGTAACAGTAGCAACCTGTGGATATTATTTGTACTATGCAAGTATGCCAGCCCCTTTAGAATATGACGAGTAAAATTGCGAACAACAGATTCTGTCATAGCTCCACAATGCTCTTGAACATACTTGTCAATTGAACCAGGGTATACGTACTCTAGGTATATGAAAAATCGATCCTCAGTCTGCATTAAATATTAAAAAACATTGAAATGCAGTTGGCAAATATCAAAGCATCACAAGGGCAATTAGAAAACTCACAAATTCACTTCCATAATATTGCACAATGTTTGGGTGCTTTAATTTACTTAGAACTTTGATTTCCTGCAAAGGAAGCTTGTCAATGAGTGAGTTTCCTCAGAAAAAAAATTCAACAAAATCAGGGCAATTCTTCTACTTCTTAGCAAAGCCAAGCATGCACTAGTAACATGCATTTGAAGACCTGGATACAGCACAAATGGCTAACCTGTTCTAGTTGTTTCAAACATTCAGCAGATTTAGGGTCATCGGGGATTATATTTACTTCTTTCATCGCACATAAAGCGCCAGTATGCCTGTTCAAGGTCAGAAAATAAATTCTCAAAGCACCACAGAAAATATCCATCAGGAAGCACATTTCACTACCTATTGGTAGCCCTGTAAACATTCCCAAAAGTACCACTGCCAATTAGTTTTTGCTTCTGCCACTGGCTAGTCATTGAAGCACTCTCATTTTTATTTGCATTTTGATGAGAAAAGTTTGGCTGTGGCAACACAGCAGGTCCAGGAGGTAGAGGCAGTGGGTGGACATTCAAATTCATATTATTGTCATGCCATGTACTAGAATTCTCTGAATAAATCTTAGGATGAAGAGGAGATTGAGGTGCACTTGGATTTTTTGACTTCAGAATAGGACTTCTGATAGTTGGACTATATGACGGTGATATATCAGGACTGCCATGAAGTTTCTCGGATGAAGTTTGGGGGGACATTCCTACCATCATATCCATAGAAGAGACTTCAGGAGCAGAAAAAAAATGAAGCCCTTCTGAAGGACTGAAGACAGATGGGAATACATCTACATTACTCAATCTCCGAGGACTGTGCACAGGACTTGAGAAGCCGCTTGGTGGAGCACTTTTAGCTGGTATGCTTAACCTGAAGGTTATGCTTTCAACAGAATTTGGATCATGGATTGCCTTCCTATGATTACTGAAATTATATCTCTTCGTCGGATTATCAAAATGCTCTGGACTTCTCTGAACGTTAGGGAAAGCCGACCTACAGCAATTGCATAGAAATTACAATAAAAATTCCTCAATACTACTAGGGAGCCCTTTGTGATAAAAATTTATACCAAAGCCTTACCTATGCTAAGGCTGTCCTCTGAGAAAAAACATGTATAGTAAACAACGGAATGAAAAAAAAAAAACAATTTTTGAAACTCTTGCTTATCTAGCATGTCATTACAAATCTAATAAAAGTGGGTATAGAGGTAAAATAAACTTATCGCCCAACGTCAGTAACACCAAAGGTGCCAATAAATAAAAGATGAAAGTTAGAATAGCCCTTAAGCTAATCCCTCGGACTCATTCAGCAAAGTTAAAAATTATTTTCTTTAGTAGAGAATAAGGTCATAGAGTTTCTCTTACATCAACAGATTAGGTAGTGCTAAATAGCAACCGTGAAATTATAAGGGGAGGATCATATAGAATTCTAAACTCCGATCTCTTTGGAAAGGCAAGTCAAACTCCAATCAACCGATGTCAAGTTCCCCAAAACCAAGGTATTCCAAACGTCTAGTAAAACAAAAGATAGAACTCTCACAAACAAATATTTTTTTATGCTGCTGCACTTGATTCCTCCATATTAAGCATTTTTTTTAATTACTCCCAGGCTTTTCTTAACTACTAAAGAAGTAAACATGCCCACAAAGAATAAACTTCAGTTCTCTCTCCAAGACACACTGATAACAATCAGTAAAACTCTAAACATAGCATGTTTTTTTTCCCATTAAAGCCAAATTTTCATTTCGAGATCACCTCAAATACCTAAAATCATTACAACTAATAAGAAGGTAAAGGGAAAGGACTAAACATTATATTAATATAAAGTCAACTAAGCATCAATCAGAGGAACCCAAAAAACAAATATTTCATACCTCCCAGATGCAGCCGGAACCCTCTCCCCATTCATATCCGTCCCAACAACAGGCGTGCAATCCACCACTCCCCCGCAACCCTCTTCCACCTCCACTCCCGAATCAGCTGCAGCCCCCATAAGTGAAGGCCGCCGGCAACTCTCACACCCACCATTACAAGAAGCTGCTGCGGTCACGCCACCGCCACCATTACTCAGCGAGCACTCCGGCAAAGGCAGCGGGTGCGGGTGCGGGTGCAGCACGGGCGATGACGACGACCGGTACGTCAAGGACTCAAGGCTGTTAGGTGATGTGGAGCTCGCGGCGTCGAACGTACGAAGCTTATACTGCCGCGTTTGCAATCGACTCGGTGAGTCACCCCGCTTGCTCCAGAGCAAGCCAAGCTCCCTACGCGTGGCCTTCAGCGGCGAGGAGTCGGCAGACGAGGAACGCTTCGGAGACGGGGAAGACGGTGAAGATGAAAAGGAGGAGGGCTTCCACCAAGGCATTTCCGCTGGGCAAGAAGGGGAGGAACCACATGGTAGAACAGTACGAGTGATGTGGAAGAAAAAGCTGTGATCCAAGAGAGAGTACCGCTATCGCATATGGGGACGGAGGCGAGGCCGAGGTATAAAACCAAACCCTAGATCGCCATCGCCCATGCAGAGCAGAATGAGGAGAGGATGAGGAAAACGACCGACTTCCTTATGTGTTGTTGTGCAGTTGCGGGGTATCTGTTTCTGTGCGTGGAAAAGAAGAGATAAATAGAGAGAAAGAGAGAGAGAGGTGGAGGTTGAGGAGCGAAAACCACGCGGCTTGTTGAGAAAGGAAGAGAACCAGCCCAGCTCGCTATGTCCTCGAGGTCAATAATGAAAGCCCTTCGTTTTGTCCGTTTCCTTTCTCACCTTCGCTAGGACTTCAATTTTATCTCGTCCTCTTTGGGCTTAAGAGCGATTTTTCGATTTTAATATGGGACATATTTTTTATCCAAATTATTTAAATATATATGTTATGCACGAAAAAGAAAAAATTTTATCTCATAGAATATTTAAATAGATATGAAAAACTCAAAAATAAAAAAAATCACGGGATCTAATTCATTTAAAAAATTATTTATGTTAAATGATAAAAAATACTCATTTCTTCAATGTTAAAGGAGAAAAAAATTAAACAAATATATGATTTTCTCTGATGAAGATTATATAAATCAAATATTCACAAAGGGGCAGTTAACAATCAACAACATAATTTGATTTTTCAATTGCGATTATATAAAGTAAATTTTCACAGATGAATTGATATAATTAACAGCAAAGTTAAATCTGATTAGTATTCTGGAGATGATTGTGATTTTTAATATGAATTATCAATTACAATGGTAGTTGTTTGCAACAATAGCTGGTGGTGATCTTCAACAATAATGACTTAAAAATATCAGAGAGCTCTTCTTAATTATCTCATTTCTTCCTAACCTCTTTTGTGGAGAGTAAGTTCTATTTATAGACTTTCTTAAATCGACATTTCGATAATTTCAATCAGATTCCAAAACATTTCATGATATATTGATTTTTGAATCACAAATTGTTTATTCTGCATCTAAGTGTTAATGATGTCAGAATTGATTGATATTGGGCTCGTTAGATTCGTTTTGTCAATTCGCTCGATTCGACTATAAACATGTATAATTTAAAGATATTTTGATCATTCAATTATTATTTGAAGTTTCTGATCATATTTCAAGTGTTTGATTTGGGCTCATTTGTATTCGGATTAGACATCCTTTGATGGTTGGGTTCACCTCATTTGGATGTTTAGTTTGACATTGAATTTCATGAAATTAGAATTCATATGATTTTGAATTTAATTCTAGAAGTTCTCAATTCCAAATTGCCTCGAGATTCATGTCAATCCAGCTGATTTTTTGTAGATATATCATTTGCCTTTCTATTTATTGATGCCAAAGCTTATTACGTATGAAAAAATATTTAAAGTTTTAAAAAATTATGTATTTTTTATATTTTATTTATTTATAAAGAAAAGTTCTATTTTTTTAGAATTTTTTCCTTTTTTTCTTCTTTTTTTTTTCTATAGATTTTTGTAAGAAAAATCATTTTTTTAAAAAAGTAAATAGATTTTTATAGGAAATATATTTTGTTAAGGAAAAAAAAACATTTAAAAGAAAGAATTTTTCGCTGATTTTTTTTACTTATTTCTTTTCTTTTCTACTTTTTATTTGAAATAACTCTCTTTTTTATGCCATGTAATTCTCTTATTTTATATCATACAACTTTTCATGTAACTCTCTTTTTTATGTCATGTAATTTGGACAGAATTAACTGACATAAGAATAATGATGACCGCTCGATATGCTTTAATATTTATTTAGATAAATTCATATAATAAGTGTTAATTATCCTGGAGAATAAACTAATACTTGTGTTTTCAATTTGATGAAAGAAATAATTTTATTTTCATATTCAAACTCGGCATAGAGAATGTAAGAAATATGCATAAGGATAAAATCTACATTCACCTATCGTTTTGGATACACAATTTACTAAGGATAAGCTTAATCGATGCCCAGAGAATTTTCCCTTCTCTTAGCGTGTTAGTATATGTGTACAGGTGGCTTTAGGTCCCAATAGCTGGTCTACATTTATGTAATTTTATATTCTTGATGTACGGCTTACATGCCAAGCCATATGCCTATATATATCAAGGCCTAACCATGTATTACTAGTTCGGTTAATATGACAAACACCTTTTCTTTCAGTTTCTGTCAATTTCTTCTTTAAGCTTTCGCTCACATGGTATCAGACGTCACAGCCTAGCGGCTTCTGTTCTTTCTCTTTCTTCTTCGTCGCGTCCCGTCCATGGCAGATCAAGGCTCGTCGGCCTCCGTGCAAGAAGACTCACAAATCTCAACCATGCTTGAAGATTTCGTGGTTCCAGCGCCATTAAAATTCCTCATCTCAAATATGAAAAATCTTGTTCCTACCCTTCTCACCACCGAGAATTATTCCATATGGAGATTTCAAATTCACCAACACTTTGCCGCTAATGGTTTTAGCGGGCACCTCAACTGCACAAACCCGTGCCCTCCCGTTTCCGTCGCGAATGATCACCGACTATGGAAGCTCATAGATCGGAATCTCGTTTCTGCAATTTTATCTACAATTTCTGCTGCCGTTCTTCCCTATGTGATCACCTTATCCACCGCCCAGGAGATATGGTCGGTTCTTGAAATACGACTCCAACTAACAAATCGATCCAGGGTGATCCAGCTCAAGAACGAACTTCACCAGGTTCAAATGAAAGACAAGACTATGCAACAATACTTAACTCAAATCAAGAATCTCGTTGACAACATCGCAGCGGCCGGTTCCACGCTCGACACCGAAGATATCATCCTTTATACGCTCAACGGACTTCCAGCACTCTACAATCCCTTCAAGATAGCAATTCGGACTTCTCAGCATCCAATCTCGTTGGACGTTCTCTACTCTCTTCTTGTCAGCGAAGAGATAAATATTCAGCAAGAAACATCCAAAGATCTCCACCAGCCGTCCGACAATACCGCATTAATGTCCGTTCTGAACAAACCTACACGTAGTCACTTCATCCGATCTCATACCAAGAACCAGAACGGGCCTTCCAATTCCAACAACAATCCATCTCAGCTTCGAAATCAACCCAACACTCCTCGACCGGTATGCCAAATATGCGGCAAGACTGGTCACACTGCGCCAAACTGTTGGCATAGATGCAATCTTCAATATGTACCCTCAACCTCGACGAATTCCAGAGCATACTACACGCAAACTCAACCTTCTGCAAACAACACGGAGTGGATTCTTGATTCCGGAGCCACTTCCCACTTGACTCCAGATCTCTCCAATCTGACTAATACATCCTCTTACAACGGGCTCGACTCGGTTTCGGTGGCAAACGGCAGCACAATTCCTATTCAACACACCGGAAACGGACTTCTTCCTCTACCGGAGTCCGCTCGTAAGCTAAATCTTCGCAATATTTTACACGTTCCCTCTATATCTCATAATCTCTTATCCATATATAAACTAACAACCGATAACAAGATTTCAATCCTCTTTGACACTAATGGTTTTGTGATTAAGGACTCTCAGGACAATCGGCAACTTCTTCGTGGTCGCAACCATAACGGGCTGTATCAAATTACAGCCCCCACTGCATTCGCTAATTCTGCTCGTCAAGTTCGGCATCGCAACGACATCCCGTGGCACGCCCGTCTTGGGCATCCGAACGAGAAATCTATCTCGTCTCTTGTTCATTTTCTTCCGAATTTACGCAATTTTTCTGCTTCTTCTAATATTTGTATCTCTTGCAAAGTGTCTAAATCGCATAAACTACCTTTTTCTAGTAGTTCGTCTGTTAGCAACAAACCGTTTCAGCTTGTTCATGCGGATGTATGGGGTCTGGTCCCTTGTCAATCTATGAACGGTTATAGATTTTATGTGATTTTCATTGACGACTTTACACGTTATTCTTGGCTTTATTTGATGACAGCTAAATCTGAAACTCTATCTAAATTTAAAAATTTATGCACTCTCATTCGCAACAAGTTTAACAGCAATACCATTAACCTTTGATCCGACGGAGGCGGTGAATTCACTAGCAAACAATTCACTGACTTTCTCCTCGAACAAGGGATCACTCGGCAGCTCAGCTGTCCGCATACTCCTGAACAAAACGGCATGGCTGAGCGGAAACACAGACATCTTCTCGACATAACAAGGACTCTTCTACATGCAGCAAGCCTTCCGCAAAAATTATGGGCAGAATCATTAACTACAGCTCACTACCTTATAAACCGCATACCAAGCAAAGCTACAACTCCCAACAGTCCTCATTTTCTGCTTCATGGATGGCATCCCTCATATCTGCATCTCCGAACTTTCGGATGCCTTTGTTTTCCGTGGTTGAAGCCCTACACATCCAGCAAACTCGACTCAAGATCAAGTGAATGTGTGTTTATCAGGTACTCCACCACCCACAAAGGATATAGATGTCTCGACATTCAATCTAACAAGATTTATATATCGAGGCATGTCACGTTTTGTGAAGATATATTTCCTTTTCAGAACTTAAACTCCCCGAGACAAGTCACTCCACCACTATTATATCAATCACCACTTACACTTACCCCTGCTTCTGCAACGATTCATACCCTACCCAAACCTCCACCTTCACCAAACACCAACATTACTTCTCATCCTGCATCATCTCCAATCAGGCAACCATGTCCAACCGTCCCTGCATCAGTGCCAAATCTGCAAGCTAGAACACACCAAATGAACACACGGCTTATGACGGGCATCACCAAACCAAAGAAGATCTTCGATCTCTCGGCTATCTCGACATTCGAAGAACCTCCTACCTCCTTTGCTCAAGCAATAAAACATGAACATTGGCGCAAAGCAATGACCGCAGAACATCAGGCCCTTCAGAATCAATCTACTTGGTCTCTAGTACCTCTTCCACCTCACCAATCGGTCATTGGTTGCAAGTGGACATTCAGGATTAAACGTCATCCTTCAGGCACCATTTCTCAATACAAAGCCCGTCTCATCGCCCTCGGATGTTCTCAAGAATTCGGTATCAATTACACCGACACGTTCAGCCCTGTCGCCAAAATGACGACAATTCGTGTTCCAATCACACTAGCTCTTCACCAACAATGGTCCATTCTTCAACTCGACGTATCGAATTCTTTCCTCCATGGAGACCTTCAAGAAGACATCTATATGAAGCAGCCTCCAGGATTCGGCGACCCTTCCCATCCGGACTTCGTGTGCAAGCTCCACAAGTCCATCTACGGACTTAAACAGTCTCCAAGACAGTGGTTTAGCAAAATCACGACGA